CCGCGATTGCAATTGCATGTCTACTCATTCGACTGCAAGTGACCTTTGTTTTATCAGAGGGTGGTGAGAGAGGGGACAATTGCATGTGTGACACTAGGCATGCAACTGCAATCATAGCCCTCGACCGCAACTACATGTCTGGCTACAACTGCAAGTGGCGTCCGTATTGCAACTCTGGAGTGTTTTATGGGGGTGTGGCAGTTGCTTATCTACCACTAGGAGGGGGTCAACCATCGTATCATTATTTTATTTATGTTTCTTCATTTTTTCATGATTTACTTTTAATACATTAATTATTATTTTCGTAAATACATGGTGAACATTTATGTTAAATACATGATAAATTTTTATTCAAATACGCGATGAACTTTTTAATATTATGCGGTGAAAATTAGACAAATGTGCAATGAACATTTCAGAATATACAACGAATTTTTTTGTGAATACACGATCAAATATTTTTTATAAATACGAGATGATACAAATATAGGACGACCATTTATGCACACAAAAACACGAAGAATTTTAATTTTACACAATATAGATTGTTTTTCATTTTTAAAATTAATTTTTCATACTTTTCTTTTGGATCTATGAAAAAAAGAAGTTGAAACAGGACATGAGCTGGCAGAACAGCCTATGTAAGGCATCTGTTTTGCTGACCGTAAGAAACGCATGCGCAACATAGTACCTTTTTTTGTGGCATGGAACTACTTTATATATCTTTTACTAGTATATTTTGCTGTTGTAAAAAGAAAAAAACAAAGCCCAAGTAAGGGAGCAACCCAAAAAAAAGAGAAGACAAGCTAAGAACAAAACCCAACGAGAACAGATGCAGCCCAAATAGCAAACCAGTCACGCACCTAAAACAGAAAACTAAACGATGCAGTAGTACTACCTACGGGAGGATCAGTCGTAACATCCAATGTTATACGTGCTATGTCAATCGACTGAGACTTCGTCAAGTCTAAGTCGACTGAGACCTAGACAAACCCATAAACTTATAACCGAGTGGAGTTGGTATACTATACGTAGGTATAGTACCTTGTGGTGTTGAGCACAAGGTGGGCTTGAGCTTCTGGAACCAGTCGAGCTGCACGCTCAAGGAGCTGTTGAAAGGGGGCGCACTCGTGATGTTTTTCTCGTAGAAGTAGGATAGATCAAGCGCCGTAGCCCCGATGACAGCGAAGTTTGCTCCATGGGTGAAGTTATGTTCTTCACCGAGAATTGGGGGGACGAAAGGGAGCCCAAACTCATCGGCTGCCAAGTTGATTGATCAACCATCAGTCCACGCATTGGCAGACACTACCTTCTATCTAGCATTCTCTCTAACAAAAACCTGAAAGCAAGCTAGCTAATTCGAGATAAAGGACGGAATCATGTGCATAAATACCAATGAAGTCCAAGATGATGCGGCCGTTAGAGGCTCGGCCAGTGGGGCGACCGAAGAAGGTCTCCCCATAGGGGAGGTTGCTGAAAGGGATGATCGGAAGCAGCGGCGCTCCGAGCTTGACAAAGTTGCCGGTGTCGCCGTACGAGTTGCTGAAGCTGAAGATGGAGTGGATCGAGCCACGGCCAGGGTTTGCCTGAGCGTAATGTACGCTGGCCAGGAGAGGGAGGAGGAAGAAGGCTATGCACCTTGGGGCGGAGTGATGATGCTCCATAGTTGTGGCGCACGGTGTGAACTGGTCGGCAAGCTATGCTATTGCTATGTGGAGGAAATGCCCAGGTACATACATATATAAGGGGGGAAATACCCATGTGCACTCGGGCCCAGTCCTCCCTCGTATCCCATCGCTCAGGTTCTCTGAGGTTCGTGCTTTGTCTGTAAGTATCTTCTGTAATCATGTAGCGACAAAGCCATATGAGTTTATGATTCAACAGCCATATTCAAAAATATGTAGAGATAAAGCCATCCTGAATATTTCATACAAGTATTCTTTCATCTCTTGCATGTATGTTTTCCCCCTATGGGAGATAACGCAAGGAACATCCCGTACGTCTCCCTCCCGAGCCGCCCCCCGCGTGGGCGATCGGGAGGCCCCAGATCCCATCGCCGCCGAACCTCCCTCACTCCTCCTCCTCCTCCCTCGCCGCCGCCCAAGGGCGCAGCCAGGCGAAGCCTAGCCGTCGCCGGCGGTGGCGGGGACTCGAGCCCTCTCGCTCGGGTGGGGCTGGCGCGGGCCGGCGCCGCCGGGCCGGAGCGTGGCGGTGGGCCGGTCGCCACGGCGGGTGGTGGCAGCGCCTCGGCGACGTCGTTTCCCCGCGGCAGGAGGCCTTGCGATCTGGTGCGTTGCGGCCGTCAGGGACGGCGGCGGCGTGACCGGATCGGTTCGCAGCGGCGCGGCCGGATTGATCGCTGGTCGGCCGTCGGCACGGTGGTGGTTGCGACTCGTCGACAGCTGGGCAGATCCGCGGGATTCTATCCTTGTCTGGCCCTTGGCAGCGTGGGCAACTACTAGGGAAACCCTAGGTCTCCTTGGGATCGAGCGATGGCGGCGCTTTTGCGTCGTAGTCCCTCTTTAGGGCATTGTTTTGGAGTTTTCTCCGGTTAAAGAGACCAGCGACGTCGCGGCGCACGTCTGGTGGAGCAACTGCCGATGAAAATCGCGCCGACTACGGTCATGGCGGACGATGGCGGCGTCTTAGATGACGTTCCCTTGTCGAGGCATCGTCGTTGCAGTCTGCGTCATCAGGCTCGGGATGCTCCAGGGGAAACCCTAGATCTGGGTCTTCCGGATCGGACGATGATGGCGTTTTATCGCTTTCCCTCCTGGGGGCATCGTTTTGGAGTAAGTGCTGGCTGGGGGGATGGTGGAGCGGTGCTTCATCTCACACATCGATGGCGACGGATATCGGCGGCATGGCGCTGTGGAGGCTCGGCGTCCGATGCACGGAGATGGACTCACGCAGGAGGAGGTTGCTGTCTGGCGTCATGGTGACGTCGATGGCAGAGTGGCCAGACAAGGTAGAAGTCTAAATATGATCTGAAGACGGACATGTGGAAGATGGCGGCGACGACACACGAGTGCGTCTGACCAAATTATGCCCCAGACCCGGTATGTGGCTTGGCTAGGGCTTCCAAATATGTTTCGGATTCCGGCTTTTGATGTTAGGCTTAGGTGAGTGGTTTGGGTAGTGCCCCAGCTAGCACCTTTTCATCATTTTGGATAGGAGTAGCGGCATGTATTGCCAAGATGGTGGATTCAGGCACATTGTTGTAATACTTTGTAAGGTCCTCGAGAATAATCAATAAAGTGGCCGTATGCATCTTCCAGATGCAGAGGCCGGAGTCATCCTTCTTTTTTTAAAATATATAAAAAATATCGATCTTGTACCCTTCGGGTCGACACAGCACGAAGGCTTCATTTACTGCTACTTTCCACCTCTCGCCTGTTAGCTACACATCTCCCTCTCCACCTGAATCTTCTATTTTCCTTCAGCTTTCAAAATCTTCCTGATCTTATTTCTTGACCTTTATTTCTTCCTGTTGTAGTCTATGAAACTATATGAGTTTATGATTCAACAGCTATAGGCAGTTAGATAATTAAAGCATGAACAGTTACCTACTTTTGAAATGGAAGACTAAAATATATTTTATATTTTATTGCCACTGTTAGAAACGAGCGAATTGCGGGCAGTCTTCTCACTATACCAGTTTATGATTCAACAGCTATATCTAGCTATATGTAGTTAGATAATTAAAGCATGACAGCGACATAATTTTAAAATGGAAAAATGAAAATATATTTTATATTTATCACCACTGTTAGAAAAGATTGAACGCACACAGTCTTCTCACTATATATACGAATGTATGACTCATCATCGATAGGTAGTTAGATAATTAAAGCATGAACAGTTTGTTAGAAATGCTTTATAAATATCATCTAGATACAGAGGCACATACCATTGATAAAAGTAGAGGCTTGTTATGTTGGCTTGTTCCTCCGTGGCTGCATATTGCAAATTTTCAAATTAAAATAATAATCAAATTCTGTACACACAAAGTAGTTGCCTTTTACGCACCAATCAGAGTGTTTGATACATAATATATTCTTAAATTGCCATATATGAATTTTGTAGGGAACAATAATTGTATTCAAAATTTCATATATAAAAATAGTATATAGTTTATTATGAATTAGCTATTGAGATTTTCAAACAGTGTTTATACAAAAGCCAAACTACTAATGCTTTATTTTTTGTCCAAAATTCATATGTAAAATGGAGGTGACATCTATCAAGGGCCTCGTCCCAAGCCTGGCAACGGAGGCATAGGTCCAGCCTGGTCTCTCTAGGATGGATGCAAAGTAAGTAACTGAGCCTTGTATACTAAGCAAAGCACACATGTCACTTGTCAGCACAAAACAATGGACAGTAGGATATGAGTTTTCCATGGCACACTCTCTCGGACACACAAAGGTGTACATTGCAGCGTGAGTTTTTGTCAAGAGGGGGGATTTGAAGAGCATCGTGGATCACATCTCTCGGGCAGGCAGGTGCAGCGTGAGTGTGTTGGCAAGAATGGCACGAGGCCCTTGACAGAGATGCGTTATCAGAGAGTGCACTTTCTTATATACGGTAATGGTATATGTATAATTTAGGATACTATTATAGTTGTCAAACACAGATTTGGGATTAGTCTAACCTAACAGGGTTTAACAAGATTAGCTAACATATGTATTTGAATCTAAACTAACACAACCTTAGAGTTGAATAGTTCACACTTCATTAGTTCTCTAATCTCAATAATAATAATGCTCTCTTTTGACTTTAAATGACACATCCCTTTCCACATTTTTTATTACAAGGTATCTTAAACTACCAGGTTACCTGGTCAATTCGTTTTATTGGTCCCTTCAAAAAATCCCGCTCGTCCTCCCATGTCGCTCTCAGGGCGGCCCCGGAGGCCCCCAATCCTAGGTCTCGAGCACCTCCCTCCAATCTCTCTCCAAAGGAACCCATTTTCCGCCTCGTAGCTAGATCAGGGCTACCACATTCTCCGACGGAATTGACTAGTGAAGCGCGTCCCTCTGTATCGATGGACCTTCGCTTAACAAAGGAGGGCCAAGGGCGAAGGTCAATAAATGACATCATAGAAGGAGTCAAAATAAAGATGAAACTAGATACATTAAGTGTTGATCATGTTCCTTGTCTCCCCCTTTGAAAGGAAGACTTGGGCGGCGACCGTTCTGCCACATCTCCGTCGGCATGGTTGTGTGTCCTCTACCCCTATGGCTGTCGCTCTGGCGATGGAAGGGGACCCCCGACATTGCTACTCTGATGTGTAGTTGGCTTTGGAATTCGCAGAGGCATAGCGCTGGTGGCGGGATCTTCACCGTGTCAGAATAATTTGGCCGGCCCTGTTTCTTGCCCACTCCAGCGGCTCCAATGAACGATACTGGAAAGCAAGTGGCCTTTTCGTCTCGTCGGGCATCGGATTTGGCGGAGTTAGGCTGTGTCAGCTCCCGTTCGGCTAGCTTCGCCGCTGGTGGAGCTGGGGGCATGGCAGCGTCTGTGGGGTTTTCGAAGCGGGATGTGCGGATGCCAGTGCGCGGCAACATCCATTTCTCCAATCGCATTGGTTGAAGTCGACGCCGTTAGGATCAGACAGACACGGGGATAATCCCCGGCTGTCATACCACAAAGACTCGGCAGAAAAGGCAGCTTTGTTTGCGATGGTGGCGGTAGTTCTCATTTCTCTTTGGAGAAGCAACAACGGCGGCAAAGTCCAATTTTGTGACGAGGGTAGGCAAGGATAGATGCCCAAGGACTGTGCTAGAAAATTTCTTGTTTTTGGATCATTCCTGCAAATCTTTCGATCCTTTTTTGTTTTTGTTTTGTGAGGTTGCTTTTACAATTTTCATGTCTCGCCATCTGTTTGTGTGTAAGGGTGTATGCGTATGTATTATGTGTACCAAGTTTGTTCCATGAAGTACACGTGGCAACTTCTTAAAAAAAAAGCAGGAATTACAAGCTATGGTTGTTTTGGATCAAGAAACTGAACTCTTTTTTTTTTAAGTTGATCAATCAAGAAACTAAACAATAGCCTTATTTTTTTAGTATCAAGAAACTAAACAATAGCCAATCGTTCGTTCGTGGCAGCCTCCGGTAAGCCCATCATCCAGGCCCAGTGGTAGCAGCCCATCGTCCAGGCCAGCCAGAGGCCGAGGAGATTTCATCTTCTAATAAAACAGAGGAGAGTCGCTGAACAAACCCTATTCGCCGTCGTCGCCCTAATTTTCCCTCCGCAAAAGAATAGGCAATGGCGGCGGCACTGCAGATGCCTAGTACGACGACTACGGCGTCGGCTTGCGTCCCAGATACGGCGCGGGGCACGCACGTGTTCACGATCGCCAGCTACAGGCTGCACAAGGGCCTCGGCGCCGGCAAATTCATCCGATCCGCCACCTTTGCCGTCGGCGGCTATGACTGGTGCATCCGGTACTACCCAGACGGAGACCTAAACCAGAAGGACCACGTCTCGGTCTGCGTCGAGCTCCAGAGCAAGAACTCCGTGGTGAGGGCGCTCTACGACCTGAGGCTGATCAACCGGGCCACCGGGCTGTCGTCATTGATCTTCTCCCGGCCATCGTCCCTCCCGGCGTTCGACTCCTTGAAGAACGATCATGTCAGGGGTGCTTACAAGTTCATGAAGATCGACCTCCTGGAGGCATCCCCGTACCTGCAGGATGACTGCCTTGTGATCCAGTGCGACATTACCGTTCTCCTCAATGAAATACCGGCCGTGGCGACGGTTGCCAAGCCACCTGAGATTCAGGTAACACCGTCAGACTTGTCGAACAATCTTGCAAAACTGCTGGAGGGGAACAAAGGAGCGGACATGACGATCAAGGTTAACGGTGAGGTCTTCCATGCGCATAAGATTGTGCTCGCGATGCGGTCTCCCGTCTTCGACGCTCAGCTCTACGGGCCAATGGGGGACAGCGAGAAACATTGCATACAGATTGAGGACATGCAGCCAGCTGTTTTCAAAGCATTGCTTCACTTCATGTATACAGATTCATTGCCTGTCATGCACGACCTTGACAACCATGACAACAAGGAGATGATTAAGCACTTGATCGTGGCTGCAGATAGGTATGCCATGGAAAGGATGAAGTTGATCTGTGAGAGTATGCTATGCAAGAGTCTCGATGCTAAGAGCGTTGGGGCCACATTGGCTCTAGCTGACCAGCATCATTGCAGCAAGCTCAGAGAAGCATGCGTTGAGTATATCAAACTCTTCTCTTAGCTAGAACAGAGGATATATGTACGTGATGGCAAGCAAAGAGTCTGATCGCCTGACTATAGATGATATACTCAAGAATCTGATCGCATGTTAGGGGTGCAATAAAGTTTCGCTAGGTTTAGAGTGCGGATCCGCGCGTACTAGTTGATTTGTGAACATTTAGTTTGATGGTCATTTGCAACATAACACCTTTGATCATGTTGCCTAGTCCTGAAGTTTCCGCAGATAATTGGCAGATGAGTACGTTTATCAGAAGAAGTGACCACCTTAGACCAGGTTGTCTTGTCATATTTAGTCCTTTTAGAGGTATTTTGGTGGAGTTTGGTTGATTTATCAGAAAATATGTTTGCTAAACCTATATATGAATCCATGCTAGCTCACTAGTTTTCTTGTAAATGTGGTGATATTCTGTCTAAACAATATATTTACCATCATAATTTCCCCTTTTGGTGCATCTTTTTATTTCTAATTATCAATGAGCAGCACTGCCAAAACCATCTCCATTGTGAATTGTATTACTGTACAATAGTGTAAGTAGTAACATTGCATTAGTATGTTGTGTCATGCAAACAATTATCGAATTTCAGTCTATGCAAAGTGCTAATTATACCTCACCAAAAATAGTGCAAATTATACACTATTATAAGCAAATAGAACATTTATGTCAGAGTGCCCAAGATGGTGCTCGCAGCTTTGTTGTACAAATAGGGGTATCTAGTTTGAATGTTGTTACCGGGGTTTTCCTTTCTTTGTAGATTTGACGCAACAAGAACTTTGGATCCTGGGTTAATTTTGGAGGAATATGAGCTTTGGGCAACCAAAACATGTGCGGCTGGAACTCAAAATGCAGCTCATAAATTACTAGTACTTGTTTGTAGATAGCCTATTGTTGCTAGCTAGCTGCATTGCGTACCTGCACCATCAGGTGTTGTGGTGTTGTACCACAACACCTGTTGATCCTCGGGAATTTGGGCAAATATCTATCGAAGCTGAGTTCTGTTCTCTCAAAGTTTCTCTGTTCCAGTGTTAAATGACATTGACCTTTGATGACATAAGACGTCCTATATATATTTCTGAAGTTTTTCTTTATGGTATTTTATTTCAGAACTTGCACGAGCAAGGGTTGAAAATCCAACTGTTTTACTGTATGGAATTTCTGTTGACTTCCGAACATCTTTGGGTTTACCACTGAATTATTGGAGGTGGCGCCACAATTATTCTTGGAGGTTGAATCTTGTGATGAGAAAATAGGCAGTTTTCTGATTAAATTAATCCATGAATAAATCATGAGCATGACATTGACAGCATTGATAATACACTGGTTACGATCTAACAGAGCATGTACTACGCATATAGTAGAAACATCTACGCATATCGCTAGTACTGCTACAACAGAAAGAAACATGAGAGGGATAAACGATGTATGCCCTCCAATCGGCCATGCGGCGGCGGTGGCGGCAGCAGTAGCCGCGGCATCCTCGGCGGCCTTCTTGTCGGCCTCGGCCTTCTCAGCGGCAGCACGGTCGGCGTCGGTCGACATGGTGATGACGAAGGTGATGCAGACGTAGATGAACAGAAGCGAGCAGTCGCGTAATCGCTATCCAAAAACCTAATATGTGTAGGAGTTTTTCGAATTCTGGTTTTGCTGCTGCACTAAAACCGTCGCCGTTTACGGGGACGTACTTTAAGCGTTGGCAGACTAAAACCACCTTATGGCTCATTGCCATGAACGTGTTCTGGGTCGCCGGTGTGACTCCCACATGAACGATCGCTCCTGATCAGGAGTAGGCGTTCAAGGAGGCCACTGTCGTGTTCCTCGGGGCAGTTCTGAGCGTGATTGGAGATAAGCTGGTTGACGCATATTTGCATGTGCGGTCTGCCAAGGACTTGTGGGAGGCGCTCGAATCTAAGTTCGGGGCTGCCGATGCAGGGAGCGAGATGTATATTATAGAGCAGTTCCATGATTACAAGATGGTTGAAAACCGTCCTGTATTGGAGCAGGCTCATTAGATAATATGCATTGTTAAGGAGCTTGAGCTTCTTAAGTGCGAGTTACCGGGCAAGTTTGTCACGGGCTGCATAATCGCTAAGCTTCCCAATTCCTGGAGGAACTTTGCCACCACTCTGAAACATCAGAGTCGTGAATTCTCTGTGGAGGATGTCATTGGCCATCTGAGTGTTGAGCAAAATTCAAGGGCAAAGGACTCGCACGGAAAAGGGGTCGAAGGAACTTCTGTGGCCAACATGGTGCATCAGAAGAACTCCAATTCCCACAAGCCCAAGGGAAAGAACGGTGCCCAACAGAGTGCCGACTTTAAGAAGAAGGGTAAGAAGACCTTCAAGAAGAACAAGAAGGATGAGGGCTGCTTTACTTGTGGTTCGCTTGAGCATTGGGCCAACAAGTGCCCAAACAAGTATAAGAAGCAAGGGCAGGACTCCAAGTCTGTAAATATGATTGTGAGCAACAATGAGAGTGGTGCATCTGGGTACGGTAATTTATTTGCTGTATTTTCAGTTTGGCCGTCTACCGATTGGTGGGTCGACACAGGTGCAGGTGTTCATGTGTGTGCTGACATTTCATTGTTTTCTTCTTACCAGGCCGCAGGTCACGGGTCCGTACTGATGGGGAATGGCGCGAGTGCTTCTGTTCTTGGTGTTGGCACGGTCGATCTGAAGTTTACTTCGGGAAGGATCGTGCAGCTGAAGAACGTGCAGCATGTCCCCGCCATCAAGAAGAACCTCGTTAGTGGCTCCCTTCTATGTAGAGAAGGGTTTAAGTTGGTATTCGAGTCTAATAAATTAGTTGTTACGAAATATGGACTATTTGTTGGAAAGGGTTATGAATGCGGAGGCATGTTCCGCCTTTCTCTTGCAGATCTATGTAATAAAGTCGTGAACAATATTCATTTGAGTGTTAATGAATCTGAAGTATGGCATTCACGTCTTTGTCACATTAGTTTCGGTGTTATGACGCGGCTAGCAAAATCGAATTTAATCCCGAGTTTCACTTTAGCCAAAGGTTTTAAGTGCCATTCGTGTGTGCAATCTAAGCAACCTCGCAAGCCTCACAAGGCAGCAGAGGAGAGACACTTGGCGCCACTGGAACTCATACATTCTGATCTTTGTGAGATGAATGGTGTGTTGACTAAAGGAGGAAAGAAATTTTCATGACTTTGATAGATGATTCCACTAGATATTGCTATGTGTATCTGTTAAATACTAAAGATAAGGCTCTACACTACTTCAAAATCTATAAGGCAGAAGTTGAGAATCAACTTGAAAAGAAAATTAAACGAGTCCGGTCAGATCGTGGTGGAGAGTACTTCTCAAAAGAGTTTGATGCCTTTTGTGCGGAACACGACATTATTCACGAGAGGACGCCTCCCTACTCACCCCAGTCAAACGGGGTTGCCGAGCGGAAAAACCGTACTCTAACTGATTTGGTTAACGCCATGTTAGATATGTCGGGTTTATCCAAGGCATGGTGGGGGGAGGCTATAATGACATCCTGTCATGTTCTGAATAAAGTTCCGACAAAGGATAAAAAGATCACTCCTTACGAGAAGTGGACCAAGAGAGGGACAACACTCTCGTACTTACGTACCTAGGGCTGCTTGGTGAAAGTTAATGTGCCGATCACCAAAAAGCGTAAGCTTGGACCAAAGACTGTGGACTGTGTTAATTTGGGCTACGCTATGAATAGTGCTGGCTATAGATTTCTAGTAGTGAAATCTGAGGTACCTGACATGAAAGTCGGTACAATTAAAGATGCTACATTTTTTGAGGACATTTTTCCCATGAGAGATGCACAAAGCACTTCTAGACAGGAATCTAAGGAAACTCCTGAACCTGCCATTCCGATGGAATATTATAATCAAACACATGATGAAAACCCTGAGGAGGATAATGAGGAATCCCTTGGTAGGGGCAAGAGACAAAGGACTGTAAAGACCTTTGGTGATGATTTCTTCATATACCTCGTGGAGGATAATCCCACTTCTATTTCAGAAGCGTATGCATCTCCAGAAGCTGACTACTGGAAGGATGTGGTCTGTAGCGAGATGGATTTCATCATGGCTAACGGGACTTGGGAGCTTACTGAACGTCCTTATGGTTGCAAACCATTGGGATGCAAGTGGGTGTTCAAGAAGAAGCTTAGGCCCGATGGTACGATAGAAAAGTACAAGGCTAGGCTTGTGGCCAAGGGCTACGCCCAGAAAGAAGAAGAAGATTTCTTCGACACTTATTCACCTGTGGCCAGACTGACCACCATTCGAGTATTACTCTCATTGGCGGCCTCACATGGTCTTCTCATTCATCAGATGGATGTTAAGACGGCTTTCCTGAACGAAGAGCTAAAGGAGGAAATCTATATGCAACAGCCTGATGGCTTTGTGATGGATGGTCAGGAAGGAAAGGTGTGTAAGTTGGTGAAATCTTTGTATGACCTGAGACAAGCGCCTAAGCAATGGCATGACAAGTTTAATGAAACGTTGACATCTGTTGGCTTTGTTGTTAATGAGGCTGACAAATTTGTATACTATCGCTATGGTGGGGACGAAGGAGTTATACTGTGTTTGTATGTTGATGACATACTGATATTTGAGACTAATCTCAAGTTGATCGAGGAAGTTAAGTCTTTCCTATCTCAGAACTTTGAGATGAAGGACCTTGGAGTGGCTGATGTTATCTTGAACCTCAAGCTATCGAGAGATGATGAAGGTGGGATTACACTTCTGCAATCCCATTATGTTGAGAAGGTGTTGAGTCGTTTTGGATATTCGGACTACAAACCATCTCAAACACCATATGATCCTAGTGTGATGATTCGAAAGTCTAAAGGCACAGCTATAGATCAATTGAGATACTCTCAGATTGTTGGTTCACTCCAGTATCTAGCGAGCGCAACGAGGCCTGACATCGCATTTGCTATTAGCAAACTGAGCAGATTTGTTTCCAAACCGGGTGATGTATACTGGCGTGCTCTTGAGAGAGTTATGCGC